TAGATTAAAAAAAAACATAAATTCACGCGCACACACAGTTAACACGATATTTAGCATAATTTAACTCGTTTACATTTTACTTTGTTGATTCATATTAAATTACATGTCTTAAACGAGGATTATTCAACGAACGCGTAAACCTGCTCCTATTACATCTCTTTTGTAAATTTTAGTTGTATTGTTCTCTTTCTAGAACCGGTATTCCTCTCTTTTCGCGAAGCATTTTTATGTAAACTTGCTGACACAGGTAAAAACCATCATTGGAAAACATTTAGTATTGATGCTCTGGAAAATTCAGTCAACAAAGATCCATGTAACGCAAGTAATGATCATTTTCGGATAGCAATATTTTTTTCTTTGATTTGTTTTCCGTCGATCCCGTTTTCCGTACTGAGCACCAATACTACCGACGCCAGGAAGGCAGCTCCAACACCTGGACCCTACCTATCAACCTATCAACTCATAAACCGGGGACCAACGGCTTTACTTCCATTCCGAAGGAAGGCGTGATCAGAGATGTTATGTTTCAGAAGATCCCGGTGGCGCCGACTGGGATTGAACCCCGGCCTGCTTACTGCTCACGCTTACCACTACACCACGGCACCGCTAAATGACGCCAATCTATAAATCTATATATAGAGATTCACGGAAATATTATCAGACGGTTTGGCAACGTCATTTGCATTGTTCACAAAAGCTGCCAACACTTGCCGCGGAGCTTTGTACGCAACTTTATCGTTGTCTACGCTACGAGTTTGTTTGTTTGCGTTGTTTGAATTCTCAGTGAACTAGTGAACTTACAGTCAAATTAATTGTTTATAAGAAAGTTTGAACATACTGAGAGGTAAGCACATATCATCGGTAAGAGACGTGTGTGTGTGAGAAAATTTGCGAAAAAAATTGTGGGATTCGAACCCACAATTTCCATTCAGTACACGGGTACATTTCCAACTATACAACGGTGGACCTATTTAGTCTACGGATGTAATTGGCTAATGACATTTGAGTTTCGAATCCGTTTCCCACCCTAGTCTTTTTTGCGCAAGCGTTCACAACAATCGTCTATTATCGACGATATGTGCTTGTACCGCAACCACTCAGTATATGTCTATGTGAACAAACACAGCTAATTTTTGTTGTACTACCTTACGTGCTGAAGAATTTCCAGTGCAATATGAAATACAACACTTCATCTGCCGGCATTTTTATTTTTATTTTTGCAAAGTTTTGACCGAAACGCGGTTGTGGAAGCGCAACGAAGTGATTTTTTTCTCTGGTTTTCGAAAAACGCTGAACTTTGCAAACAATGCACAGTGGTCCAGAATGCAGATTTAGGTGGAATGATATGTTTTGAGCCTGAAATTGAAACTTTAGACTTAAAGTCTCTTCTACAAAGTTGTTCCTTATAGTTAGGCCCTCATTTTTATGACAATGAATTCTAGGGTGGTTCCCATTATCATTAAAATCAAAAATCTAACTTTTTTGTTTGAATAAATTAAGGTACACATTCTTCGGCAAACTTATAGCTGAGCTAATTTCAAGCAACTTTGTTGAAAATAACTTTTTTGTATCTCTTGAATTGGCCGATTTAGAGCTATTTTCTTGAATTAAGTTAGGGTGGCTCTAAAAATAAACAGTTTTTTTGCTCTAGTTTTCTTATTTCGAATTTCTCAGCAAAGATGTTTTCAGGTAACTTTTAGATCTTTAGAATTTTTGCTGCACAAAGCTTGTCAATATCTTTCGCCGATCAAGAGTTATTGACGTTTTTATACTAAAAATATGCATTTTTCAAATGTTAATATCTCTGGTTGGGGCAAACAAAAAAAAAGTTTTTTTAGGGCATTTGAAAGGGCGTATGTTATTCTCAATAATTTAAAAAATAGAGGTATGTTGATTTTTAAACTCGTATAAAATCAATTTGAATTTATCCATATTTTTTACTATATTTGAGTATATCTTTTTTATTAGAAGAGATACAGGCAACAAATTTGGGTATAAAACATTCGTCTTAAAGAGTTTTAAAAGTCTCTAGAAGATGCCTTCGCCTTCTTAAGATCTAAAAGTTATCCAAAGACACCTTTGCTGAGAAATTCGAAATAAGAAAACCAGAGTAAAAAACTGTTTTTTTAAGAGCCACCCTAACTCAATTCAAGAAAATAGCTCTAAATCGGCAAATTCAAGAGATACAAAAAAGTTATTTTCAACAAAGTTGCTTGAAATTAGCTCAGCTATAAGTTTGCCGAAGAATGTGTACCTTAATTTATTCAAACAAAAAAGTTAGATTTTTGATTTTAATGATAATAGGAACCACCCTAGAATTCATTGTCATGAAAATGAGGGCCTAACTATAAGGAACAACTTTGTAGAAGAGACTTTAAGTCTAAAGTTTCAATTTCAGGCTCAAAATATATCATTCCACCTAAATCTGCATTCTGGACCACTGTGCAATGGCTGGAGTTTTGCGGACTACCATCGGATTTTTTTTTTCCAGTGGTACCACTTCAAGTACATGCAATTTTATTTTGATAAAGAATTAAGATGTATATCTGAAAATAAAGGAAAAATTGCAAACAGTTTTAAACGTGCTTTTATTTATTAAAAAGGAGGATAAAAGTGCGAGTTTCCTTTTAATCGTCTTGGTGTCTCGGGTGCACTCATTTATTATGATACAAGCAATAAGTGCTCCCAAGACAGCAATACGATTTGACAGAATCGTGTACTTTTATCACACTTTTTGAATTTTTGGGACTGGTCCCTTTGCAGATGCAATCAGCAATATTAATCGAACTGAAAAATCTATCAAAATTATCCATTCAAAATTCATGATATAATTTTTAATTATGCTGAAAACTCTCTTATGTATTTTACTGCTATAATATCATTTCATTTATAAACGTTTTGTTTGAATTTATTTCACCCCGATGACAATACTTTTCAATTAAATAAGAAATCCTCTGAATGTGTTCTAATCATAATGTTCGTTTGGCTCACATTTTGGCAGTTCTCGCTGCTCGATTGGCTCAAGATGGCCGCTTCCGCGAACCTCTATGTATAGAATTACTTTATAAAAGTACACACTACGAAAAAGTAATGTAAATTTCAGCTCCCTGAGACCGACACATGTAGGCGGCCCTTTTGACATAAGAATCAGTTGAAAGAAACGAGAAAATCAATTCAATCAAACATTCTCTTTGCGTCAAGTTGTTTATGTTTCGGTTTGAGAACACTTAATTTTACATGCAATGTTTGGTTACGTTCCATGATTTACGTCCAATATGGAGTACGTCTCGTGTAAAAGTAGTTATTTCTGGGTGTGTATTATACATTTTTTGTTCAAGTTTGAGAAGAATATTGGTTAAAATCGGGTTTTACAGAGGTCTTCACCATTCGATTCCTTTGATAATTTTACAATAGTTCAGTGCATGTAGGTTCAAAACTTATAATGTCAATTCAAATTTACGCATGATTTATTGCGCATTTTGCCCCAAACTAGACTACCTCAGAATTTTTAATTCACTGAAACCAGTAAGAATAAAAGTTGTCCATTGTGAATGTAAAACACCACTAAATTTTGCAATACGATATCATATTGACATGCTAACAGTGATTGAATTTTAAAAATTATTAGTATTTAAATTTCGTTAAATGAGCGAAAACAATTCTGTGGGATTATTTTAAGCGCAGGAATCCACTTTAGAGTGAAATTTGCAGTAATCTAGATTTTTTAATTACAGGGAAGATCGGACAAAACATACAATTTCCAGAGTTCAATCCTAAGACCATCATCATTCGATTCTCCTGAAATTTTCACATAGCTATAGTGCAAGTGCGTGTAATATTAATGATGCTAATCTAAAAAACTACATGATATATGAGTTTGTTCAAGTTTGAGGGAAATATAGGGTGAAATGAGGTTTTGCAGAGGTTACCATAAGACATGGTTGGCACCGTTCGATTCCTTGGATAATTCTACGGTAATTTAATGCAGATAGGCTCATACATTATAGTTTTAATTCAAATTTCCACTTGAGGGGAGGTCGGGTAAAATAGACCATTTCCTGAAGACTGACCAAGAAGGAACCATCATCATTCGATTATCCGGACATTTTTACATAAGTATAGTGCAAGTGCGTGTAATATTAATGACGCCAATCTATAAAACCAATTTTATTCCGAACTTGTAGAGACTTAGGTCAGGTAACACTTTTGAATGATAAAAAATAAAATTTGTCGATTATAGTTTAGTCGTGTATCGGTCACATGACATTTAACCGACTTTTTCAGCTTTTCAAAAACCCGGTAAAATTGTGCCTTCCTCGATGCTCTGAATTCAGGGTACTATTACTCGACTCCTTACGACATGTTGAACTGTAACCGTTTGAATTGTCTTAATAAAAGTTATGCTAGCATCGAAGCTGCCCTAAAAATTTTTTCGCATCCTGTTCTAGAGACATCGTTTGAGCGCAGCTTTAGCACTTTATTATATAATTACGAAAATTTGCTACGTTTCCAAATTAGCAAAGACAGTCCGTCCGGCTTGTTGTAACAGAAAAGGAATAGATTCCAGAACTTGATTTGAATGATGCACTAAATCCTGTTTTAAGCGATTTTATTTTTTTTTTTCGATTTGGCCTCACCACCATATTTTTTGTGATTTTTTTAATCAAGTTGCATTTGGTTGCAATTTGAGATCACAAGAGCAAAAAAAAATCAGGTAAAACAGCTAAATATATTGCCATAAAAATAACCGTAATAATAACCGGAAAGGGGTATAATTTTCTTTGTTGGTAGGGGCACGGCTAACCCTAACTACCTCTCTGTCGACAACCCCTTAGTTTGGAAAATATCTGTTAAGTTAATCATGATTTCAATTGAATTCTCTCTAACTCGATATTGAAGGGATCATCGGCTTAGGGAGCATTATTGAGTTGAGAGAATATCGAGTTACGGAAGTATATATTTTGGAAATTAGTATGGTAAAAGTAGTCTGGATTTCTCACCTTGGGGTAATTTTCCGCAGTAATAAACTGTCCATCAATTCCGAGTAGTATCACCGAGACTAGACAGATGATGACCCCACACAGCATTATCGTGTTGCATACGGGGTGTGACGTCTGGATGACTCTGTGGAAGATGGAAATATAATGTGTTTAATAATGTACTGCAGCATTCAGTTACAGTGACTCGAGAATACACAAATAAATGTTTTATGGAGATTGTATTAATTTGGCTCAGTAATCAAAACATAGTTTAATATAAGGAAAAGAACTACTTTGACCTAAGAACCCATTTTCATCCAATTGAGTAGAAAACAAAAAATAAATCTACAATTTTGCAGTAAACGAATTGAACGATATTGATGAGCTAGTTTGTTGTTCCTCGATGAATGAACACACCGAGGAATCATCACCGTGGATGGATACACCGATGAACCGTCGCACAGTGGGGTATTTATTAATTCTAGCTGGCAAAAAATATTTAACCACTCTAACTTGTCACATACATCTTATTGTTCAAGGATAGTAAAATTGTTTGGTCAAAAAAGGGTGGAGTCATGTTTTGGAGGAGGGGGAGGGTCATGTTACAATGATGTCGTTAAAGTATTGTTCGGATTTAGTATCCGTCAAAGGATGAAATGTTGGGACCTAATTATACTTTTAATAAAAAAAATATAAAAATTCACTTCAAATTTGACATGTTGTAACTTTGTTCTGTTATGACAAATTGAGCTGAAATATTGACACAGAACCACAAATATGTTGAATTTTTCGTGAGCAAAGGCCAAACTTTTTGCAACTCCTGCAAAAATGGCTGATATGGCTATAAATGTTTCAAGTAATAACGTTTTTGATATTCGAAATATTTCAAGATCCCTATATTGAATTATTTTTCGTGTACGCAAAATTCACCATAGTTTGGTTCTGCATAACAATTTTAGCTTAATTGAATATAACAAAACAAAATTCCATAAAATTTGGCTAATTTACATGGTGCTATTTTTTTGGCTGCAGGTGTAAAAATTTATAAGAAAATAAAATATTGAAGATTTTTTTAATGTTTTACAATCAGTCATTGTAAATAAGTTCAGCTAAAACAGAACAAGATATTTATATTTAGATTTCAGATTTGAGGTTAAAGTTGATGGAATCCACAAATAGCAGCTATTTTGTTTATTTTGCCTTGCCACTTCGAATCGCGAAGATCTCAGAAACTAAAAGGATTTCGTGTGCCAAATTATAGTCACTATTTTGCTGCATGGAAACTATTTTGTTTATTTTGCCTTGCCACTTCGAATCGCGCAGATCTCAGAAACTAAAAGGATTTCGTGTGCCAAATTATTCACAATTTCATGCACGGAAACTTTGTAGTTTCTGAGATTCGAGGCGCCAAAAAAAGATTAAGGTTTCTGGTAAGGCAAAATAAACAAAATAGCGGCCATTTGTGGATTCCATCAACTTTCACCTTTCACAAAATAATTATATTACATCGAGTATTATATAGCAACAACATGTTTAACAGTTCAAGAACAAAAACAAAACCACAAGTAAAAAAAAAAAGAAATTAAACGAAGAAAAAAACCTCATTCCTAATTTGAGAAGACATTTTCTTGTTCATTAGAAACGTCTGTTTCATATGTTTCTTTCATCTCTAATTTTTGCAGCCGAGCTTCACTTTCTTCCTCTGAGAGTAATATTTGCAATTTTTCTGTCATCAAAACCCTTGACTTTTTTTGCGGATTTTTTTATTAATCCTAATAGAATATTGATTTACTTTCACGTATGATAATCATTACGTTGTTTATCTGTGATTTCAGGAGCAGAAATAAGCAGCAGTCTATTCAGTACATCCATGTTGTGTAGCTTATAGTCGAACGTATGTTTCCGCTGTTTCTTGAGTAAATGTTTCAAACTTTTCCGTATCAATTTTAAAACCACTAGCTAGTGTCTCCAATATAACTTTAGGCCGGTAGATCAAATTAAAATCAAACCTGTTTTTTGAGCAGCGGTTTCCGGATCAGCAAAGTAAGATAAGACTAGTGTTGCCATCCGAATTTTCAAAGCCTGGTTTTGGAAAATCCACAAGGAGTCCCAATTTCTTTCTGAAGTTTTCTTGAATGTGTTCTTTTCTTTCTTTGACGATTTGCTTTTCATTGCCAGTTAACCGACACTTTTTGATCGGTAACTTGTAAGAAAGATGTAAAATTGTCTAAAAAATACGAATCCTGAAAAATGGATAATCTGAATTTCAGTGAATCTGTGTTGATTTCCTTTTTAACACCAAGATTATTGAATTTCTTTGAACTTGCGCCACATACACAACATTGCATCGTTGATGTCATTTCAGCTGCTGCATTACACACACTACAAACAGTTAGCATAAAAGTATGTCTAAGAGTGAACTGCTTGCCATTTAATGTAACTTTTGTTGACCGTAGCGAATTAATTGCATTTTTAATATAGAGAATCTAAGATTGGGCCCATCGCTAAAAATCTGCTATTTATCAATTATATCTAGATGAACGCGTCATTGGGACGGTACTAATGGATATTTTTGGTCGCTATTGAAAATTTAGTCGATTGCTGAATTTATGTATGGGCCCAAATAAGGGGCATTTAGGCCGTCAATACATCCATTTCCCCTATCTGATCTCTTCATTATCTCAGATGATTCCTTGATAAACCTAATGTGGATTGGGCGACAGTAGCGAGGTGAAGATGAAGTTGGGTTTTACCAAACTATGTTTGCATTGGACCCACAAACTATTCTCAAATGTGGACACACTCGTATCAGAATCCATATCCACACGCACATGATGGAATTATGAAACAAGAAAAATATACCTGAAAGGCAACCCCCCACCCCCTTTAAGGCCTTGATCGCCTAGGTTGCCACCTTGACCACCATGAACGAAAATGTCAATAACTGCATTTGTGTACTTTTTTTTTGGATAAATTCACGCCATCGTCATTTTCCAATTTCTCGAAAGATCGCAAATAATCGCAGCTGATTTTTTGCTATAATCTTCTATACATATGTACATATAATGCCTCATATACGGCTTCACAGGATATTACAGGATAAGTAATTTTTTTTTATCACGATACATTTATTTTATAGTTTAAATAGCACTTGTAGACAAGATTTTCATAAACTGCTTCTACGAACTCAAAACTAAGTGAAATCAGCAGATGTCATGTGGAATACATATTTCAATACTTGCTTGATCAGTTTTCCCGGGGCCTCCCTTAGCTCAGTCGGTAAAGGCGCAGCTACAAAGCAAAACCATGCTGGAGGTGGCTGGGTTCGATTTCCGGTCCGGTCTAGGAATTTTTCGGGTTGGAAAATTTCTCGACTTCCCTGGTTATAGAAATATGATTGAACTTGCCACACAATTATACCAATGCAAAAATGAATTGTTACTCTATCTCTGAAGTATACAATGCATGCATTCAGAATTTGTTTTGGCTTATTTTGAGAAATTGACTTTTGCCCAGCTAGCGTAGAACAAATACCCCTCCGTGCGTCGGTGATGATATAATCGCCGTTCAGTAGCGATGGGCAGGAACGTAGCAGAAAGATACAATTTACAGTGGAGCGAGATTCTGGATAGGTTGAGGCAGCGTCTGATGTACGTGGCACCACAATAGCTTAGAACAACGGCGCTATTTACTGTTGAAGCCGGATGCCTGTTAGGATCAATGAACCGAACAAAAGGTACTCGAAGCAATGGCCGAATCCTTTCAGCAAGGTCTTTTTGAAGCACGTGCGAGCTATCCTTCCCGATTTTTGCCTTACCTTAGCGATTAGGGATTACACCATATCGTGGAGAGTTTTTCTCGTGATGGAGTGCGCTCTCGTTGGAAGGATAGCTGGCTTCGCTCTGTGAAAGAGATATGTGCAGTTCCGCCAAAAGCAACAAAAAAAAAGAAAAAAAAGTTACCAGGACCTTCCTTCAAGAAGTTCTACAAACTGTGGCTTTTGATCTAGTTTTACAAAGAGCTTTGAGTGGGTTGGTTTATTTCCATTAAATTCCGTTATAATTGCTTATCTCTTGACAGATACGCGTATTTCGTCTACTACTTGCAGACTTCATCAGTGCCAAGTACTCAACACCACTCTATGCTCAACATGGTTAAATACATTTTGTATTCGCTTCTTGAATTTCCAATTTATAGGACATATAGTTATGTCAACGATAAACCCAAAGAAGTTCATTACCAATTGGTATGCTTGGAGAGTTAGTAAGCTGTTCGATTACTGAAATAACTGATAGGTTTTGATTTCCTCTTGGAGAAAGTTTTGGTTCAAATGGTTTTGAAAAAAGTAAAGGCTCATACACATTGCATCCGTTGGCGATTGGTGAGAATAATATTAAAACAAATTTTCGACATTCTCCGAAATCATCACTATTTGAAAGAAGGGACTTTTCTCGTCAATTTAAGACTACTACTAAAATCTCTCTACACAAAAAGGATAAGAGAAAAGTACCTTCATTAAAAGAAACGCTCAAAAAGACCCATATTTTGTATGGAAAAAGCCTGAATGCAAAACTGAAATGGTTTGGTAAAACTACTTCTACTTAGCGTTCAGAATCACAACGACCTTTCTACAATGATTGATTATCTTAGTTGATTTTCTGTTGGTCTTGGTTGATTTAGCATATCTTGGTGCATTTGTTGTTCTATTGTAAACCTTAAAATTTCCGTAAAACTTTCAAAAATCTCGGATTCTAAGTGAAAATCGATATGGTGAACGTTCTTCGCAGTCAAGTCCTTATAATTCAGACCGCAACCAGGCATGTGTTGGATCACGAATACATCGTATATACGTTATGAGTTAGGTTACATAGTAGCTGTGGATGCCTTTTCTAACTAGAACTAAGAATTTTATACAATTTATTGTGAAAATAAAATGCGTATCTTTAAATACAATTTTGATATACAGCAATATATATAGTATATATATAGAAAAAAAAGCTATAGTGACCATTTCCGCGTTAAAATGCCTACTGAACCTCTTGACCGATTTTTACGGTTGACCCTTCAAATGAAAGATGTTTTAATTTAATTTTAGGGAAAATTATGAAACTCTTAGAGATATTTGATTTTGTATGAAAGATATAA